GTTTCGATGTCATGGTGTCAACGCTTTCCTACCTTGTGTTATTATATGAGTAGTAGGGGAATTTACCGGCGACTGACTAACTATTCCGATCCCACTTTAGGTCATTTTTATTAGCCAAGAAACGTTCCGATCGCCTGTGGTCCTGCTAGCTTGTTCGCTTCGAAAATTGGAATTTCGATTTCTCTGCAAGTTTCGTAAAATGGTGGCTGAAACTTTCTAGAAATGAAATTGAACCTGAACCTCACTGATCGCGGCATATTACACAGCATAACTTGGTGATTTTGTTGAGAAAACGAGTAAAATACTTACCGGCGCTAACACTGCTTTTGGAGGCAGCCATGTTGTGTACGCCCTCAACATCAAAATATGTTCAAAGCTTGAGTTCTCGATGTCAAAACTAGCGGATTTCATTCCTGCAGCTAAGCTTTTCCTGACCAAGCTATGCTGCACGGTGTCAAAGCTGTGATTTTCATTAAAAAGCTACACTTTCATTGGTACCCCTGGTGAGGGTGAATATGCTGCAAACATTAGTGCTATCTTGGAAGGTGGTGTTGCATCCTTTCATAGCGCATCTGTACTTATATTGAGACAATGTGTTTATTTATTAGGCTAAATATTTTTGAAACGTTTTACAAACTTCTATAACAAACAATTACCTACTTGAACTTTCCTGTAATATAAACACTGAATTTATTTTTATGTCTTCAATCCAACAAAAATGCGAGGTATAAAAAAAGAAAACAATTCAACCATTTTTAAAAGATTGTTCATGCCACCCCCATCTCAGAACCCCGGAGTTTTAATGTAATATCATAATATAATTTTCAGTATTTTTACATGTCATATCATATCATAACAGTAATTTAAAACAATAATTTTAACAAACTATTATAAGACATGTTTCATTTCTAAAATAGCCAAAACATCTAAATCAAGAGTTTTTCAGGATTTACTAACAGCAACTATTTCAAAAACAAGTGGCATCAATGACTATTACTGACAAAGTGAGAATGTCACCGGTATAAATCCTATGTAATTCAACATTCACTACTTAAATTCAACCATGCATAATAGAGCACATCTATTGATCGACCCCATAAACCATGACACTGTAAACAGTGTGGGTCGTGACTGAAGCAAAATCGATCCAGATAGGGCACATTACATCACAGACTATTAGTGGGTCATGGTCTATTCATTTTGGTATGCCATTTTAAACATGGACATTGCTCTCTAGAAAGAAAAGTGGACTGACAATGAGACTCTGTATTACTTCCTGTTAATCTGCAATCTGCACATTCTGAATTTGCTTTGATATTATTTTATTACCGTACAACTAATATGTATACATTCCTGGATACTGTGATAAGCAATCATAGTTAAAAAGACTGAAAATTATTATATTCTTAACAAGTTTGCACGTACACTAGCTCGAGGTACACGCTGTTTCTTCCCATGCATGAACGCAATTAGGTTATTTAGCTTTAGCCAGCCCATTTGTATACGTGTATCACTAGAGGCACTTTTCCTACGAGTCGAACAATCACAACACATTCCAAAACGTTGATTGATGTAATAACAGGACCAGGTATGTTATAGTACATACCATTTCAAAATGGGACATGGCCTCCTTACAAATTTGTTGCAGGCTGTTGACATGACTCGCATTATGCCTCTAAAAGTTTGAGACTTTCTATAAAATGTACACTTATGTTAATATGTTGTGCAGGCAGGTA